GAAAGGAAGGAAGGAAGGAAGGAAGGAAGGAAGGAAGGAAGGAAGGAAGAAAGAAAGAAAGAAAGAAAGAAAGAAAGAAAAAGAAAGAAAGAAAGAAAGAATGAATGAATGAATGAATCAGGGGCTGGAGAAATGCCTAAGTAGTTAAAAGAACCTGCCATTTTAGCAGCGTCCTTGGGTTCACAGTTCCCAGCCAGTTCCCACATGTTGGCTCACAATCACCTGTCACTACAGCTCCAGGGGATTCTGACAACCTTTTCTGGTCTCCTCAGGAACAAGGCATGAATGTGGTGCACAGACATGAATGTAGGCAAATACTCAGACACATAAAGTAAAAATGGAAATTCACTTGTTTAATGTCTGAAGTTTGAGTTCACACAATGTTTTGAGTGGGTCTGAGTTTTGGCTTTTTTTTTTTTTCTTTTTTTCTGAGACAGGGTTTCTCTGTAGCTTTGGGAGCCTGTCCTGGAACTAGCTCTTATAGACCAGGTTGGCCTCGAACTCACAGAGATCCACCTGCCTCTGCCTCCCGAGTGCTGGGATTAAAGGCTTGCGCTGCCACCACCACCCAGCATGGGCCTGAGTTTTACCTGTGGCCTGTCACGTGATGCTATGCGGAGCAAAGATAACACTCAAAAAGGTTTTGTGTTTTGGAACATTTCATACACACACAAGTACACAGAGTAAGAGCACATTTATGTCACTGTTTTATCTGGTTTTTGAGACACTCTATGTAACCTAGACTCCTTCGATTCTGCTGCCTCAGCCTCCCAAAATACCTGCATTGTGTGAGCCATCACCACACCTGGATACTTTATTTTCCTTTAACACAGGGTCTCTTGTAGCCTGGATGGGCTTCAAACGCACAGTGTAACCAAGGATGATCCTCCTGCCTCCACTGACTACTGAAATCACAGATGTGTGCGGCCAAGAAGTATACTAGGGGCTAAGGATAAAATCCATTACTTCATGTACTCTTATCAATTGAGCTACATGCTCCCTGCCCTGACATTGGAATGATAAACTACATCTAGCTTAGAAACAGTTCAGATTTCAGATGCTGCACAAAGGATATTCAGCCTATACTCACCCTGTAAACTTACAGTGTGTATTCAGAGACGTTATCACCTGTGTGACCCCCCAATAGACGGCACTAGTCTGGCTCATCCAATGCACAGTTATCTTAAATTCTGACTACACGTCTTCAAGCCCAGCTCAGCCCTAACTTTCCTACCTCACAGGACTGGTAACTGAAAATCCCTTAGGAGAATAATTGGCAAAAAAGACAGGGTCTGAGACAGTTCCTCTAAGCAAATACTCTGTAGCTTAGAAATAGCCCCAGCCTTTTACTGCTGGATTCTAAGTGAGAGTTTTATTACGAAGCCATACCTTAGAACCTCACTGGTGGATTCTTCACAGGTTCTCTACCCCGAGCCACACCGTCAACCTCACACTTTATTGGTTGTTTATTGTTTAATACAACATTAAATACAAGCATCTCGAGGGCAGGACATTAGCAGCTTTGGTCCCAGCTCTGACTCCACAGGTGATTCTGGAATATTCCATAGGCCTCCCTCTGAAGAACTTACTGTGCCAGTTCCTCCCAGTCTCCAATCTCTCCCTCTGTGGTGTCCCAGAATGTCTGTCAAAACCCAGAGCAGAAGCTCCTCCACCCTGCTTATATCACTGCGGTTTTCCAGGTGCCTTAGGACATCGTCATAAGTCACTTTTACTGCTTCCCAACATTCCGGCGTTGAGATGCCTTGTGGATGTCACCGCGAATATTCCTTCATGGTTATTGTGTGACTACCCTAATCATCTATACGCAGCCCAGCTCTTTCCTCCCTGCTCCCCATCTTAACAGATGTCACTCCTAAGAAACCAGACTTCACCCCAAGAGAAGGCAACTCCTTCCTTTCCCTGTAACAGACCACCAAATCCAGGCCCACTTTTTCATCCCTCCTCTTCAATGTGTTCGCAGATCCATGTCACAGGTGGCCTTCTCTCTAAGTTCAGCTTCCATCTCCCCCCAAGCCACTGCCCGACATTAGAAAGACCTTCTACTTCCAGGGCTGCACTTGGTGGCTTTTTCTAAGTTTCTAAAAAGGAGACAAGCCCAAACAGGAGCAGAAGGCATTCCCCAGTATCCTGCATTCCTTCCATCTCTCAGGTTCCTCAAGTTTTTCTTTGGGAATGGGGACACACAGAAAATTCTCTTCCACGATGGTCGTGGATACCCCCTGAATGAATGGACCCTTTGTTTGGGATGGTTCTGATATCAAACTCAGTGGAACAAAATGAACCATTGAAAAAGAAAAAAGAAAAAAAAAGGTCTTGAGCTCCCAGATCCTGGGAATGGCCAAGTTATCCTTAAGCAAACAAAAATGACTTCTCACATTGCCATAAACATACTGCTACGTAAGAGATTGTGTGTTCTGTGGTTGGGGTGACCAGGTGCAACTACTGCTAATCATGTGTTTACATGTCCTCATAGCCTTAAAGTTTGCTTCATACATTAAGGGCATGTTCTCCCTTAATGTCACAAGCAAGGAGTCTAGCACTGACTCTCCATGTCTATCCCCTGAATGGCTAGCTCCACTGCTCCTACCTTTGATAGCCATGAGAAATATATGTGTATGTGTCTTGTCCTAAGGGATTATGTCCTCCATAAAAAAGGATCATCCCCTCCCAGTGAGCTCTGATTGGGAGATAAAGTGCACGTCTCCCTGTAGGAGAAGAGAATGTGCTACCTTATAGGTGAATAAGTGGAGCCTAGGTGAAAGGCAGGAACACACCCAGACTTCAGAGCCCAAACAGTGAGAACCACAGATGGGTCACATGATCTTGACCCCACAAGGCTTCAAACCCTTTTGACTTCTATACCTGTCCGTTCCTGCCATCTTCAGCTCCACTCGCCTCCGAAGCTTCCCCAACAAACAACCTAATTCACACTGGTTTCCAGCATCACTCCCTCCAACCAGAGGAATGTCTTATGCCTCCACAAAGTCTGGGGCAAGGACGGGTGGAAGGTAGGGGAAGCAGAAGCCAAATTCCATGAAACACTCACCCTGAGCGGCAGCCACCTCCTGGAGGGCGAGTGTCATCTGTGTGAAAGCATCGTGCAGGTGCCCCCTCTCATCATAGTCTGAGGGTGGACAGGAAACAGGCTGAGGAAGCGTCATGGCACACACCTGGTGCCAATTATGTTCTATGTCTGATTCATGGTTGAAAGTGTCCACCCCCCACCCCCACCCCCGGGTCTCTGTGCCCTCTCTGTCTCGCTCTCTCTCTCTCTCTCTCTCTCTCTCTCTCTCTCTCTTTCTCTCTCTGGATTTCTATCCCCAACCCTAACTTTCAATCTGGGTGTCTGTTCCTCTCTCCCTCTAGTCTCTCCTCTCTCCTCATCTCTCTCTAGGCCTCTGTCTCTGTCACACCATCCTGGATCTGTTACACCCTCTCAATCTACTCCAACCTCATAAGTCGCTGTCCTATCTCTCTGGACCACTGTCTCTCCCTAGGTCCCTGGCCCCTTCTCTCCATCAGTCCCTTTCTCCCTTAGTCTGGGTCTCTTTCTATCTTCAGGTATCTGACCTCTAGGTATCTGACCTTCCCACTCACTCGTGATCCCAGTCCACACCCTCCTCCCTCTGAGCGGTGATTCTTTTACTCAACCTGCTTTTCCACCTCCTTCTCATTCTGTCAAGGACTTCACTGTCCCTAGCCTCTCCCTGAGGCACTGTCTCTAGTCTCCACCCCTCTTTGACTGTGTTTCTTTCCCATTGTTTCCACCTGTCTCCCTTCCCTGTGTCTCTGCCAGGATCCTGTACTTAGCTTTACTTTGTGGAGTTGATCAAGGTCTCTCCTGCCCCTCCCAGTGCCCTGGATCAAGGACAGGGGTCTCCTCACTGATTTCCACGTCTGAGAGACCCTCAAAGGCAGCTGTGAGTGAGTCTTTACACTGGCCCAGCTTGGGGCCCTCTGTGCCCACAAACATCTGGCAGAGACGAAGGCGTTCCTCATGGGTGGTGAAGCAGAAGAGACATGCCCACGTGGATGCCCTGAAGATCAGCGGGAACATCAGGGCGATGCTCCCCACTAGGGCAACAAGGGCCATCACAGAGGGTCTCTGTGTCTGAGGAGTAGCTAGTAACCTTTGTGAGGTCACTGTGGGGGAGGGGGAGCTGTAGCCTAAGATCAGAGATTGTCTTTCAGCTGGTGGTCAAATGTCAGGCTCCATCTAGAGGAAGGTTGTCAGGGGTCACCTGCAATCCCTAAATTTGTAGCTGGGCCAGGCGCCAGGCTCCCAAGAACCTCACCTGTGACCCTGGACGTCCTCACAGGTTAAAGGGTCTCAGGGACCTAGAAGCCGGCATTGTAGCTATGGTGGACCAGGAAAGTCATTTTCCCCAGAGGTGGGAGCAGGAAAATGAGAAAGGAACACTGGCAGATACACTGAGCCCTAGAAGACAGAAACCGGGCAAAGAAGACAGAGAAGCCTGGAGAGATATCAAGAGGCCCAGAGACCCAAAATGTCACAGAGATAAGTGATAGATTCACGACTCTAGAGAAACTGAAGCTTCGTGAACCACAGAGACAGTGGGGTAAGAGACAGAGACAGAAAACAAGGAAATCTCCTAATGGCAGAGAGACTGCAAAGAAAAGGGCTAAGACACAGGGTGTGGGCAGAGAAGGCACCCCAGCTCATCCCAAGAACACTGGTGCAGTAGTGTGGACCTGGGGTCCCCGCCGGCCCCTTCCCGTGCAGGGCGCAGCCTGGGGAAAGCTAGGAGGCCGTATAGTGATCTCCTCGGGTGTCTTCCTCAACTATACAACCTCCTACCTCAGCCCGGGGGGCGCGGCAGGTGGGCAGATTGACAGATGGAATGGTGGGGAACCAGGAGAAACAGGGAGGGTGGGGAGGGCCGGGGAGGTCCCAGCCGCGATGGTGAGCCCCCGACACGGACCCACAGACACGAGCTTGTGTGCGGCGAAGGCCCCGCAAGGTCGGTTCTACGGGTGGGTGCCAGGACCCAGGAGTCCGGGCCCCCGGCCCCCTCCTCCCCAAGGAACCCAGGAATTCAGTCCCAGCCCTTATCCCACAATCTAGACCCCAGTCCCCCTCCTTCAAAGCCAGGGATTCAGACTCCAGGCAGCCTCAGACCCAGGGGTCACGAACCCAGCCTTCCTCCCTCAGACTCAGGGGTCCAGACCTCCTTCCTATTTCAGACTCAGGAGTCCAGGTCCCAGTCCTCCCTCCCTCCCTCAGCAGATCTGAGGATCTCTGGCAGTCCCTAGCGCTCTTACCATCTCAAACTCAGGGATCAATCTTTCCCCTCACCCCCACCCTTGCAGACCCTGAGTCTAACCACAAGCATTTCCCTTAGAGGAGGCACACCCGGGGAAGAGACCTGGCCTTTGGAGTGTAGAAAAAAGGGGGACTTATTTGTCTTGGTAATCTGCCCCCCCCCAAGAAACCCCTCGAGGTTTCAGACCCCAGGCCTGAGCTTAAGGGTTTCTGGGTCTCAGGAATACTCATGAGGCTCTCAGAAGGAACCTTCCTTTCTACCTTTCCCCTACTCTCAACCTTAAGGGTGACAGCTATGGTCCAGGAGTAAAGATACCAACAAGGGCCCTGTCTCCTAGACTCCTCCCAACTCAGGATGAGGTTGCTACCTTCACCCCTGAGCCCAGAGAGGAAACCACTTAGCCAAAGGCAATAGGCTGCAGGTGGGAGGGGCCCTAGGATCTGCACCCACCCTGAGGCTCTGAGCTCAGAACTGGTCCTCTGGGGCTTCTAGGTTCCATGTCCATCTTCTTGTTTCCTTCTCTCCGCTCGTTTCGCCTTACCCTGCCCTTTCCTATTTCTCCCTTTTTCTCAGTTTGTATCTTCCCTGTCTGGCTCTCCTCTCCTGCCATATCTGCATGCCTGGTCCTCACTCTTGTCTCTATTCTGGCAGACCCTCTCCGCATTCACCTCTCCTCTTCCTCACCTCGTATCTCCCATATCTACCTCTCAAAGCTCTCCCTCTTCTACACTGTCTTCTTTCGCCCCCTCCTTCCCTGGCTTTGTCTCTCATTTTCTCTCTTTCTCTGAATTCCTGTCTCCCTTTCCTCTTTTTCTCCCTGCTTCTTATTCAGTCTAGCCTCCACCCTCCTCTCATCTTCGAGTCTCCTCTCCGGGGTCTGTCTCTCTCTCTCTCTCTCTCTCTCTCCCTTTCTCTCCTCTTTTCGCCTTCCCTCCCAGATTTCCTACTCTCTTTTCCCTCCCCTCCCCCATCCTCTCTCTTTTTTCTCCTTCCCTCTCTCCCTCCCTCTCCCTCGCCGCTCAGAGCCAGGTCTGGAACTGGGGGTGGAGTGGGGGTGGGTCGAGAAGGGGCCCTGGGCCGGGGTAGCGACCTGCTGAGGCGGGGAGGGGGGGGAGAGGGGCGGGAAGGGGGCGGAGAAGCAAAGCGGGAGGCGGGGGCCGGAGACGGGTCTTCGGCCCCAGCACCAGTCCTCCATTCCCTCCTTTCCAACCTCCCAGACCCTTAGGCGGGGCGAGAGTCAGGCCAAGGTGGGGAGGAAGGGGAAGGGAGGCTCCCCCCCCCCCTCCAACAACCTGGCCCAGAGCCCAGGCCTGGGTTCCCAGCATGCCCCGGGGCTGCCTGGGGCCTGAGGAGGGGGGTGAGGAAAGCGGGGAAGCAAGAATCTTAAAGATTCTCCAGACCAGAGCATCTCTCCCACACCCAGCAAGTTTATCCCCAAAGGGGAAACTGAGGCTGAGAAGGTTCCGGACTGGTTCAAGGTCACTGCCCCAGGCGTGGGTGCACTTCCCTTGGGTCCATAGACTTGCTTTGGGGAATGGGTAGGCACTGGACTCCCCCACGCCCCAGGCTTGGGTCCCCTCCCCCCCTTTTGCAGACCCTAGGGAACCCCCAAGGGTCAGAGAGCAGACCCAAACAGTCTGGCACCATAGCAACCAACTGGCCCCGCCCCCTTAACCCCTGGAGGGCTGGTCTCCAGCTGGGGCTAAGACGAGGTGGGGGACTCGTGGTTCCGGGTAAGAAGCCCCCCTGCCTACCACCCCCCAAATCCTAGCAACTAAGAAGAAAAATACTTAGGGTCCTGACTCTCGGGTTCTGAAGGAGGAGGGGATGGGATGGGGGAGTGGTGGCCTATGCTTCTGGGCCGAAGGTGATGGTAGGAGAGTGGACTCTCGGTCCATAGACAAGAAGCAGCTGGGTGGCCCAGACTCCTGGGTCCTGTGCAGACCGCATCTAGAGTTTCGGATTGTGGAATTTTGGTAAAGGGCTGGAAGGTGGACTCTGAGGGAGGATGGGGCCGAGGCCTGGAAGCCTGGGTCCCCAGAGAAACCTGGTCTCTGGGCCTCTCCACTACCAGACATCCCCTGCCCCGGGCGCTGACCCGGGCCCGTCTGGCAGCCCAGACAACCTCCCCCTCCTCCTGGCACCCTCCCACTCACACGGCTCACCCTTGACCCCGCAAAGCCCCGCAGCCCCATCTCTGCCCCTCCCCCTCCCTTCCAGCCAGACGTTAACCCTTGGGCCGCCGGAGGCACCTCCAGAGCCAGACAGTCTTCCTCCAACTCCCCTGCGGTCTCTGGAATCTGGTCCCCAGTCCCTTACTCTCTGGGATTCTACATCTTTCCTTTAGAATCTCAGAGGTTCTCCCAGCTTCTGTAACCCAGGGAACCCAGAATCTAGACCTCCAGCTCCCTCCATCAAAGACTGAGGAGTTCGTACTCCCAGCTCACCACCCTCCCCCCCGCTGAACCACAACCGCCACCACTTCTCTGCCATCCAAGTCAGAACCCAGAAATCCAGGCCCAGGATGGCTGCCTCCTCCCTTGGGGGACCCTGGAGTCCGGCCCAGGTCCCATCCCCCCTCCTGTTCCGCAGACTCACCGCTCCGCGGCTCCAGCGTCGCGGGAAGCCAGTGTCCTCCAGTCCCAGCCCCAGTTTCTCCATCCTCTCCCTCTGCCGCCCGCGGCCTCTCCCCTTCCTCCCGCCAGCCCCGCCATCCTCCGCCCCCGGTCGCCTGCAGCCTCCGGCCGGTGCCTCCTCCCGGCACTGCGAGCTCGGGCTCCCCCGCCCTAGACCCCGCGGGCAGCGTGGCCTCGGACCGGCCCCCTCCCCGGGGGGCCCC